CTGATCTGTTAGGTGTTTAGTCCCAATCCTGGTTCTGAGGTCACTCTAGCGACACTTTTCATAGTGCTCTTTTTAGTTAATATCACTCTGCTTAACTTCATCTTCTTTAATTTACAAAGTTTGAAGGCACCTAAGTTTCTCACTGAGTGGGATTTGTGGATGTTCACATTCTCCTTTTTTTCAGACAAACCTCTGGAGATTGACCGGTCAGAGGTACCCTCTGAGGGTCTGATGGCAGTAATCTCTTTTCATGTCAACCTCACCTTTCAATGGTTATGAAGTATCACTGTGTTAGACCTGAAATGATTTTGGTTGGTAGTTTTTCTGGGTGCTTAACTCAGCTTTCTGTCTCTATTTGGTGCCTGCCTGCACATAGTCCTTGAATTCTCTAAAGAAACCTAAATCAAAATAAAGTCAAATGTGAATAGAGTTCATATATAATACAGGTTTTGGATAAATATTTGAACTTTAAAGAACTGTTAGCAGCACTGAACCTGATTTTTTACAAAATTTTCCATATATGGTGTGAGATATTTTAGACAGCATAGCAAATAATTTATAGCTTGAGCTGAAAAGAACAGATTTCCTGGAAGCATGGCATTTATACTGTTGTCGGGGCCGAGGGGCTGTGGCCAGCAGCCCGGGCACGTGGGCTGGGGAAAGTTGGCACGGCGAACTAGAATTAGGCACTGACACGTAGAGGTTGATTAAAGATTATTTTACTTACACCGTAGATGGTCGCGGTGCAGGCAGGAAAACTTGCTTGCGTTGCAGTTACAGATAAACACGTGGAGTTTGCTAGGCTCCACCGAAGACACACACACACGGAGTTTGCTAGGCTTCATAAAACGAACCGGGCAGAGCTCTGGATACCAAAATGAGAGTCCGAAAGGTGACTCTCGACGAACACGCAGGGTAGGGGTACGTCGAGGGATCGGTCGGCGACGGGGAGAGATTCTTGATGGCTGATCAAACCACCATTCGGTCCAAGATATACGTAGAAATCCACGAGATAATTGTGGACTCCTTGCCGGAATTCTCTCGGATTTCTCCCGGAATTCTCAGAATCGGGGTTCTCAGGATCCTCCTGAGATTCTCGGAGATCTCCGACTTGGGTGGAACCTCCAAAACCGTCTTATACGGCTAGAAAGCCAATTGCTAGCCACCATGTGGGAATAATTTAGAAACAGCCAATAATGGGGAACAAATTTACATGTGAGCGGCGGGAACTCCTTTGCACCGGGGTTTTCTTTCTGCAGCTGAGAATTGCACCGTGCAAAGAAAGCTCCATGTGGCGGGAAATAATTCTGCAGTGCCGAAGCGCACACACAATCATGGGTCATGACAACTGTAAAATCTTTTAAAGATATACTATAGGTGTACATCCACTCATTTACCTTTCAAAATATTTTCATCATCATAGGCCCTGGTCCTAAAAGGATTCTCCATAAAAAAGGCCTCTTCTGAGTGGTCCATATTCTTTATTGCAGGGTTTGGCAAAGTTTTGCTGCTATGGGCTGCTGCTGCTGACCCAGCCATACTGTGGGCTGGAAATCTCCATATCCCAGAGCATCCAAGCCACCTTCAGTTGCCTTCATTGCTGGTTCCTGCCTCCAGTCACAAAGGAGAGGAGCAAGTTCAGTGGCAAAGGTAAGTGTAGGCACAGAACAGCAAGGAAGGTTGTGTAGGGGGTGCTGTGGAGGGGATGTGTGCGCCATGGATGCTTAATGTCACCCTGAGCTCTTTGCAGGCTGGATGCAACCCCTGGGTATTAGTTTGCTGACCCTTGCTTGATTGTTAACTTGCTGACCCTTTTGCACCTGATGGCAAAAGAGACAGATCCTGACTTATCATCCAGGAGATAATTCCCATGGTCAAGGGAAACTGCTGGCTTAAAGCTTGGCAGAGGTTGTACCTCCAGTAGCCATATCCATATAGATGGGTACCAGAAGAGAGATGGGGCCTAAATGTAGTGGGGAATTGAACCCAGCAACTGAAATGGGAGTTCTGCCTAATTAAAACTTACTTCTACTCTTATTATGGAAGCTTTATCATTGACTTGGGTTTAAATAGGATCAGGTCTCTGGACCACTGAAATTAGAGTCTGCTGTTTACTTATTACCTAAACTAACATGTTGGACCAAGAACTTTAACTTACTTGATTCTACAGTGAAGTCATGATGCTGCATTTGTGACATCCATGCAACGTGTTATGTTCTATACAGAAGATTATGAGTTCACCACAGAATCAAGTTGAAGAGCAGCAGCACCATGCTGGAGAGACTCCTTATTAAACCCAAGTATTTCCACATAGAATATTAACGTGACTTTCCTCTGGTATTGATGTACCTATTCTTCAAGCATGATTCAATGTGAAAATTCTGCTTGGAAGAAGTGTTGCCTACATTCTCACTTATTTTCCAGGATTTTAGGCAGCTGATGTACATTAAGTATCGAAGGTCACTGTTTGGCCAAGGAAGCGTTTATTTTGTTAATTTTTTATCTGAAATGCTATCCTGTTTTCAGCTAAGGTTTTATGAGGCTATGTTTCTTGTCACATTCTTTTTGAATAAATATAGTTAGTGAAGAATTGCCTGTATATTTTTTTAAACAAAATAATTTATTGGTACTGTATTGCATTTAATTTTTAAGCAAACTCCTCCTATTTGCAGGGGCCAAACTTTTGTTTGCTGTTACACAGGTTGTGTTAGTGCTTATTCATGGCTATTTTCCTATTGGTCTAATATAGTTAGTTACTGAAACATAAGTAATATTTCATTAACTGCTATTTGTACCAAATCCTGGCCCCAGCACAGTCAAAATAATCAGATGGAAACATCTTCCATCCCATGAACTGGAGATGTAGGAGTGATTTTTAGTCATTATTGCCATTTGGCTGCAGTAATACTGTGGTTCTACTGGAGGGGGTGGGGGGCAGTGGGAGAATAGCTGGTGGGATCATTTAGGGTGCCTGTAGATGTGCGAGACATCTGCTCCAATGCATTGTAATTACAGCACATCAAGCAGACTCGATTAATTGAGTCAGTGGGAGTATGCTAATTAGCATGCTCCAGCAGACTCAGCATCTCTTGTATCCAGCATCTCCGCATTTCAAAATGGTGGTGGGGGCCCTTTAACTAAAGCTTGTTGAACAGGCTGGCAGGCTGATCCCCTGCCAGCTGAGGGTTGCTCCACTCCAGCTCAATGTGCTGTGGTCTTGGGCGCACATGTAAATGCTGCACGTGGAAGAAATAAACTGGGGCATGAACTGTGCCAGAGTTTATTGCTGCATACTAATTGTACAAGTAGATGCACCCAGGGTGTAGGAAACGTTAGCAGAGCATTGTTGTTCACTGTATCAGGTGTTGTTACCATATGCAGGATATCTGAGCCTTAGTGCAACTGTACCATCTTGTTGCTGTAAAGCATAGTTTCTCAACCTGTGGTACGTGTACCCCTGGGGGTACGTGAGACACAGGCAGGTGGTATGCAGGTACTCCAACAGTCTCTCTCTTGCCCCTTCCTCCTCTCAAAACTATGGCAAAAAATTTGGTGCACTGCACTTTAAATTCCCCAGTAATAATTTGGCATGCTGCACTTTGTGTAGCACTTGATTCAGCCCTCCTACCTTTGGCTAACATCACCTCTAGCCCAGGTACATACTTGAGTTGTGCACCCCTGGTGTAAAAGGTGGCAACCCTATGCACACCAGATCAGACATCTGTCATATCACAGCCTTATATACACAGCCCTTCTTCCAACATATGGCACACATTAGTCTGTAAATATAAAATCCCCTGGAAAATTGAGTGTTGGGGTAGTTATTAAAATTTTCAGAAGTTAGGGGGTACTTGCTACTTAAAAGGTTGAGAAACACTGCTGTAAAGTACTTGAGCTAGGCCAGAGTTTACCCTTTAATTAAAGAATAAAATTAAACCCTATATGATTATAATTTGATGTTCAATAAAATACAACCCAAGGGGAAGAAAAGAAAAAGCTAAAGCCAGATCTACAAATGCTATTTTTTGATGCTGCACCTGTTACCTGAGGCATTTAGATTTGACAAGATAACTATATTTTGTTAATTTGTGCCATAGATGGAGAGATTCACAAATAAACATAATTTCTATATTACAAAGAGATCAAAATTGCTTTAAACCCTGCCCTCCCCCCAAAAAAGCATGGATTCTGCAGCACAGCAAGTAAAAAATGTGATCAGTCTTAATGCCTTATGATTTTACTTCTGGCACAAGTGCTTGATGCAAAACTGTTACTAAATCCTTGCTGAGCATGAGGCAAGTCTTTCTTTCCATCACTTTTATTTTTGCAAGAGCAAGCTAGTTTTCCGATTTTTGATGAAGTAATTAGTGAGATGGTTTTGCATCCACAGAAACTCTTCTAGTAAGGAATGCATTCCTTGGTTAGGGTATGTTTGGCCTGTACTGAGTAAAATATGCCATACAAAATTGTATTTTATTCCACCTATTGGAGGAGATTCACTATAATACTGCCTTTCCTCTTCGTAACACCAAAACAATCCTATCCAACCTCTACCATAGTATCACAGTGTCACACTGCTAATTCCAGGAATTATGTTAGCAACAGTATTATCATTATTATATAAATCTATTATTATTATTATTATTTTGTTTTAGCGTATTTTTTCCACTCCTGTTTCCTATAGATAAAACTGGCAGCTGCATTGGGATGAATGGCATTTACTGTAACAGTTCTTTTTTGCCCCAGTCTCAAAGGCTGCTTTTATGGCATTTGCTCAAATCCAGTTGTCCTCCCACATTTCAAGCTGGATTGAAGATTAGAGTACAAAGACAAGAAAAATAAAGACTAGCAGGGTAAACTGGAAGCCTAACTAAAAACACACGCCAAAAGAACTGGCAAGTAACACTACTCAATAAATTAAAAGGAGGACATGTTTTCTTTGTGAACTCTAAGATTCAAGTGGATACTTATCACTAGGAGCCCTAAAAACATGGGGGGTGGGATGTCTAATCTTGCTGCCATATAAAGAACCAAAATGAATGTATTCTGGGCCTATTCATTTTTTCCCCAAGGAAATAATATTCTACAACTTCAGCTGGTTTCACTTATGAATGTACAGAAGCCTCAGAGAAGAAAGAAAGCCATCAAGTAGGGTGACACTGTATTAGCTCTAAGACTTGATTCTAAATTTCTGAAATGTCAGTATTGTACAAGTGAACTGCATTTACTTAAAAGCAATATATAGCAACGTTCTCTATTTTCAGAACCCTCAGCCAGAAGGATCACATTAGTCAATAGTCAGGCCAAGATATGGCAGGAGCACATGCAGACAGTAACATGTATTAATGCAGTTAATTCAAGTAGGTAAGAGTTTTTTTATTAAACTATTTTGGAAGGTTTTCTTGAAATAAACTCAACATTGTTTGGGGGATCAAAGATGGAATTTTTCATAATTCTCAAGTCCTTGAATATAGTTTATTTTGAAGGGCTTTTTTGTGTGCGTGGGGGGGGAAGATCAGAAAACTTCAATTTTCATGTGTAAAAATGTTATGGCTGAGTGTTAATTTTCCCCTCAGATTTGTCTTTGGAGATCATATGGAAGAATGTTAGGACCAAATTCAGGTGTTTGTAAAGTGGTATAAATTAACACTCCTCACACTTTGACTTGTTAAGACTTCCTTATGTATTCCATCAATAGTAAGACAAGTTTCAGCAGCTTGTAAGTGAATAGTTATTATTCTAGGAGTTATTTTTCTTTGTTTTGTAGGTATGATTAAGTAAAAGAAAATTCAAAGAAATTACTATTCTCCACTTCAACTGTATCACACTAGGCTTCTAATTCAAGTATTAAGATGAAAAAGATACAGAAGTTAGTTATTGCTTTGTCTAGTTTGAAAGCTGGTGCTAGATACCCTGAAAGTCAATGGTAGCTAGAAAAAGTATTACTTAAGGTCACAGAAAAATATGACTGGAAGGGTTCTCATGAGATCATCCAGTCCAACCTCCTACTCATGTACAAGTATAGCATTTCCAATTGCTTTTAAACAGGGATTTCAACTGAAAGGATATACAGCCACTGCTGTGGGTGGGAGAGAGAAGTGAAATAGCTACAAGAATCCAACTATCAGCAGTCTGTCATCAGACTTGTGTCTCTGCATAGAGTCCACATCAGCAAATAATTCACTATACTGCCATCACATAATAGGTGTATTGCAGTACATGCCAAATGAGCATCATAGCTAAAATCAAGTTTCCTGCTGGTATTTATACATAAATCTTCACTGTGCAAGGACTTCTTTCTTTTTAAACAGTGCATTTGGATACTCTTCTCAATATTGTCTATGTGTAGTTATTTAGCTAGCCATCCATCACAGTGCCGGACCTTATTAAAAAAGTCATACTATTCAACAAGCTGGTTGATAACAATTCTTTCTGTTCTGTCTCAAATGATTTTTTTAAAGGGATTAGCCGGAGGAATCAACAGCACAAAACCCCAAGTTCCCCCTGCCCCAGTATGAACAGCAACATTGGCACTAGAAAAGTCTACAGTAAAATGGTGATTGTTACAAAATAGGGACCAACAGATCCATATGCTATGACAAGTCAGTATAGCAGTCTCCCAAGTTGAAGTTGCCTCTCCTTCAGCACCAGTCCCTTTCATAGTCTTATACAGATTTTTAAAGGCAAACATAGGAAATGAGAAAGTCCATTGCCACACTTTACTACAGGGAAACAGAATGTGTCAGGTCTTTGTTTTTACTGGGTGTGTATTTACACCAGCTTAAAGTTACTGCTTAGTAAGTTATTGCAGAACAAGTGGGAACAGGCCAGAATGTACATGTGCAGGCATTAAGGTGCATTTAACGCTATGTGTGGATGAATTTGGGACTAAAATTTGTCCCAAGGCAGTCCACACACACAGCATTACTGCTTAGTAAGATATCTACGTGTTACTGTGCAGTAACTAATTGGGTGTAAATGCAATACCTGCAAGTCAGTCTAAGTCACCATATTTACTGCATGGTACAGGTGCGCATATGCCAGTACTGTGCAGTAATTCAGTTTGGCTGCACAGAAATACAAGAGCAATTCTTGTGCTACAAAGAACTCAGAAAGACTGCTCCGAACTCCTAGTTGAGATCTCTGGAGCTACCTTGTGAATTGCACTTGTTCCCCTAACCATGCTAACAGTGCATGGCACCCTCAAGAGACTCCCCAGGCACCCTAGGATGCCACTGCACCCCAGCAGAGGGCCTCTGCTTGACACCAATAGTCCTCTACCCCCTGCAACCTGCGCCTCATTCCACCTTGCACCTCGCCCCATCTCTGTGACTTCGTCTGGAGTACAGGACATCCCTCCAGCTTCACCCTGCTTAAAAAAGCGCCCCACCCTCGTGCTCTCCTCAACTGCAGGGTGCCTCACACTCCCCCATGGGGCATGGTTAAGTGCAGGCAGGCACGTGCCCCTGTGGGCCGCACCCTGCAGCTCTCCTAGAAAACCTAAAGCATCTGGGCTGGGAGGAAGGAGAGGACCTCCACAGGGTACCTCATCCAACCCCCTGCCTGAGACATGACCATTCCCCCAGGGCAGGTGGCTGCTCTCCCGCCCTGCACACGTGCTGAGAGGATGGGGGTAGAAGGGAGAGCAGGCCGAGCCCAGGCCTGCTACAACCTCACTAGCCCCGCTCCCAAGAGGAGGCTATCGCGAGAATTCCAGACCCCCCCGAAACAGGCAGGCGATCGGCCCCCGTCCTCCGCTGCGGCTCCTTTAAGGTAGAATCCCGCCGAAGCACTAGTTCTCGCGAGAGTAGGGCGACCGAACCCCGCAGCCTGCAGAGGCGGAGGCCGGAGAGTGGGATGGGAGGAGAATAGAGGAGCTCCGGCTCCGGCCCCCTCGGGAGGCAGCGGTGAGTGCTATCCCCGGCTGACGCCCAGTACTTGCACTGCGGGGAGCAGCCGTTACCGGATGGGAGAAGGCTCTACCCCGGAGGCGGCTGCGCGCGCAGCGCCCTTCACGTGCGCGTCGTGACGTTGACAGCGTGCAGAAGCGCTGGGGCGGGGCTGGGTGGCGAAGGTGGGACACTGTGCCCCTCCCCCCGCCGCGCTCTTCCAGGGCTGCAGTGGCAGAACAGGGTGGGGTTAGCGCTGCTGCGTGCCTCCTGGGGCCCTTTCCAAGGCTTTGCTGCCATCTCGCCCCCGGGTGCAGTTTTAACACATATGGTACCTTTTCCATGGAAGGGACCAATGACTCAGGCCATTGACTCCTGTAAAAGTTCTTCTACTGCTGGTAAAGGAGCGGTCCGAGCATGATCCTGGAAGGAAAGGACCATGGGTCAGGGTCACACGTGCCAGTTGCCCGGCTGCGTCTGGAGGTGGTAAAGCATGTAGTAAATTGATGTGCAGCTGGTTAGATTCACGGTGAGCTCTTCCGAATCGGTTGGGTGTAATGTGTTGCGCAGCAGTGCCAAGGTTTGCCGAGAGTTTGCCTCTCTTTGACGAAGCCTTGTGATTGTTTCCACGGTCGGCGGGTGGTTGTCTTTTCCACCCAGCATATTTTGTTTGCAGAAGGCAACATGCAAAGCTTCAAGATGTAGCGCAGAGGGAGTACAAACTGCAGCAGTACAGTTATGAACAGCACTGTTGGCATTTCTTGCCCCAGAAAAGGGTCTACAGTAAAATGGTGATCTCAGTCGCGATTGGTGCTCTGCTTCTAAAAGGGGAATGGCTGACTTCTTTTCCTTCCGTCTGTTAGCAGGTGATGCGAACTCATTGACTTCCCCTGTTACGATTCCCTCCTCATGATTTAATACATTGATGTCACAGCCATCTGTGGTTGTAGCAACATGTGTGAAGATATTGTAGGTAAGTTAATGTTTATTTGCCTTTTTTTGGAGGGTGATGGGTTTAATCCATATCTGTAGAATGCTTTAAAGATATAAAAACACAGTACCTTGTAAGTGCAAAGTACTCTAAGACCTTAGCAAAATACAAGTTGAATGTTTTATTAACTTTATTGGTAATTGAGCAGAGAAAGCTACTTAATTTTCTGACACAATGTTTTTTCTAACAGAAAATACTGATTTGTTGGAAGTTACGCATTTAGCATAAACATATTGGTTTGATGAAATTTTGAGGAAGAAATGAATACCTTTATTCCAGTAAGGTCAAAAATTCTGTTTTGACATCCTTACTAAAAAGTATTTCGCCTCTTGTTTTTGTGCTGCACTTCCATTTAAATATCTATATTTACAAAACTTAAAACATAGGAATGGGAATGAAATCTTTCTGTTGATTCAGAATGGTTTCTTTTGTAATCTTTTTTTGTATGTAATAGAATAGCTTCAAGAGTTGTGGTATAAAATGGTAGAACTCGGTGTGGATACAGTTACACCAATATAAATGTGCTTTTATTAATGTATCGTACAGAAAAGGGAATAATTCTTATATTGGTATATGTACTTTTATAGTGGTTAGCATTGTCTCAATATAGTATCCCTAACTGAAATAGGTATAAGTTGCAAAACCTGTTTGTGGATCAGGCTGTAGTGAATTATCAATAGTATCTGCAGTTTTTTTATGGTGCTACCATATTGGATTTTGTCACAAAGATTATCTTATTTCTATTACCTTTGCCTTCTGTTCCTCTTTCCTCTGATTTAATTATACTCAGTTGTTTCATATTGTGTTTGAAGCCATTTGTGGGATGAGCTGTAATCTTTCAGTATATTAATACTATGATTTGCACAGAAGGATCCTAATCTGACTAAATGTTGGATTTTTACCGCAATACAGATAATTAGCATTCATAAAGATCTCTTCAGCAATCAAAGTTTTTTGATTCACACTTGGTTGTTAGCATTCTTCTGGCCCTATACTCTCTTCATATACCTGGAAAAGTTGTTTTAGCTTGTTTTAAAATAAAGGTGCTCCACGCTCAAATCATATTTTAACTTCAAGTTTTCTGTTCTTTATTAGGCATCATATCTAATACCACTTTAATTGAATGACTGCTAGAATATTTTCTCTTTTTTCAGGAGACTTTCAGTTTTTAAAAATGTTAACAGACCACTGTGTATTGTCACTTTATGGATAATCACAGTATTTTACTTCATCAGTTTTACCTAAAACGTATATGCAAAATTGGGGACTAGAGTGCAGTTCATCCTTTTTGTTAGGTACTTGAAACATGATGTATGTAATGGTAGCAAGGACACTATTTAGTTAAAGATATGTCATTCTAATTTGTAACTATTTCCTGCCCTGAAAATGTATAGACCTTGCAGGAGCCAGGGATAACCACCAAGGAGCCATCAGGAGAATATTAACTTGTGGGTTTTCACATTGAGAGTGGTCTGGGGAGAAGCCAGAGGGTTATAGTTCTGCTCTCAGAATCCAAGTTGAAGAACAGATGGCTAGCAGAAAGTGAATTTTACTTAAGTGTTGGAGTCGGTGCAGAAAAGTGCCTAGGAAGGTATCTTCTCATTGCCGTGAAGTAGAACTCTCTTCTGTTGTTCAAGCCTCTTTGTTAGGTGCTCCTTCCCTGTGTAGAGTTCATATGCATAATTCTGTTGTTTCTCATAACTTTTCCAGGCAGTAGAGGAATGAAATTTAACATTACCCACACAGTTCTGGTGAGCAGTGATGAAACAAATCAATCTGAAGATTATGGGGACAGTTTCGCTGTATGGCGCTTAGTTTCCAAAACAGTAGTAGCAAATTTTAGAATACCTCATTGCCACCATTCAGTTTGCCAAGGTTACTTATTTTGTACCCACTGGGCTGCGTCCACACAAGTGTGGACATTTGTTTCCTTGGGGATAAGAAGCAGTGGCACACCTCAGGGTTTTGGGGTCTTCCTCAGGGTCCGGCAGCAATGATTCTATTGCTGCAGAGACTGGACAGCAGCTGAAGTGTGGCTCCAGCCAGCCAGGCTCCAGTTTTGGGCAGTGCACACTGCCCCTGCATGGATCGCTCCACTTTTTTTTTTTTCTTGGCGCAGGTTTTTTGGACCTTGGGATGTCCAGGGGTCAAAAAACCCATAGCAGCTCAGAGAACAGCTGAATGTGCAGTATGTGTCATCACAGACGTGTCTGCAGCACCACATACCATACGGTCATACTTGTCTGGACACAGTCATGAAGACTCACTTACTTCCTTTAAAAACGCTTGAATTTTATGATAGCTGATGTTTTTCAGTCTCTTCATGACAATTGTGAGTGGATTCTTCAGATCCTTCTGTTCAGTCGTCCTTGCTGAGTTGCGAATTGTATGCAGAATATATATAATGGGACTGTTACAGTTTTCGGGATCTGAATCTGGTCTGATGTAAATTCAGTAATTGATGATATGGCCGACTTGGTGGATCAGAAAGTAAGTGTGGGCAGCACCATTCCTTCTACATGTCTTTTTAAATTCATACACAAAGACGTGTTTCTGTCTAAATATGAACTGCTTCACCTCTTTTGCTTAACTTTCTTGTCATCATCCTACTTCTCAGCATATTTGCACTTATGACAGAAATCGTCTATACAGAAGTGCAAATAGATCAGTCAAAATTATTTTAAGTAGACTGACTCTCTGTTCGAGTCATCTAGTCAGATAATAACAGGCTTGAAACCTGCGAATCGTTATGCATCAGTGGATCCCTTATATCTGTGTAGGACTCGATTGATGTCTTCATGGAACAACTAGTGGTACCAAAGTGTTTGATTTTACCAAGTGTTTTTTCATTAATTCTACATTGGTGTCTGTTTCTGTTCATAATGCATTACTTTGTGCATGTACTCTATTTGATTAAGTGAGGTAGGGCTCATGCTCTGTATTGATCTAGTTATTCTATAAGGTGCAGATCTACCCTACCTTAGCCATGTTGGTGTGAAGTCAGGGAGAACTACAACTCTGTTTAGTCAGTAGGAAGCATAGTATAGCTTTTTTGCTAATCTTATTTTTGTTAACGTGCATTTTGTCAATTTTATTTAGTAAATCCAGTATTACTGTGTAAGTTTGACCAAACATTCTTTTTTCAACAAATTTATATGTTGTCTTTTCTTCACAGACAGGTGGCATGTTGGAGAGAAATGCCTTGCACCATTTCCTGAAAGTGGGAAACTTTGCGAAGCCACAATAAAGTCTATTGAAAAAGATAAGAATGGAAAATCATTTGCATTAGTATCATTTTTGGATTCTGAAGAAAAGAGAATACTAATAACGAAACTCTATAAAGTCAAAACTGATCACGGGAAAAGCTTAATATTTGATGATGATGATCTGGAAAAGCCTTATTTTCCTGACCGAAGGCTTCCGTCACCTGCAGTTGCTTTTGAGTTATCTAAAAATGGGGACTGTATCCCTTATACAATTAATAGATATCTGCGTGATTACCAAAGGGAAGGGGTCCAGTTTCTATATGGACACTACGCTCATAAAAGAGGGTGTATTCTTGGCGATGATATGGGTCTTGGAAAAACAATTCAGGTATCATTTCTCTTTTTTACTTTTTTTTTAACGAGTAGCTAAAGTACTCCTTTATGAACCAAATTACATATAAAGATTAACTATATTTTAAAGTCACCTATTTAGGAAGTTGAAGTTGTGTGTGTATCTAACTGGAATCCCAATACAAGTCCTATAGTTTCTGTATTTTGAGACTTGCTACTCATGCATTGTAACACAAGTGAAATAATTCTTGCCTCGTAAAAGTACTTGCAGCATCTTTCTGGACCATCCCAGCTACTGTATCAGTCTTATACTTCCATAAGTATTTTTGACATTCACACAATGGCTTGCATTGTTTTTCACTTATTGTCAAGAAAAGAGAAATATGTGCTGCTCTGAGAAGGACTGTATCTTTACTTCCATCTCTGGAGAGCTTCACCAGATTCATCCTATAATTAGAGCCAAACAGTTTTACTGTATTGTCGTCTCCCCATCAGAAATCCAAGTGTTTTGATTTTGGCTCCAGTCATTATAACTAAAGATGTGAGATGAAATCTTAATGCAAAAAATGGCAGCATTTTTCATCTGTTTTGTATCAGGTGGATGGGATATTCTTTATCTTGTTTGAACTAGAGAATTTTCAAGTTGGAGACATCCTCCTCTTTCGTATATCCAGTTAGATTCCTGTCTGAGCTCCTGTCATCCATAAACTCGGGAATTTAGACTGACAATTTTCCTTGCTGCCTCCAGCATTAGAAGTTTCACTATAACTTAATAAGCTTTTCTTTTTTTTTTATTATTTGGAAAAGAGAGAAACATTTGAATTTCTAAAGTATCTTTTTAGGATAACATTTATAAATGCACCAAAGATTTATGTCTTCCTGTTGGTGCTATATCATTCTCATTTTGAATGAAACTCAACTGCCTGATTTGCATTGTGCTCCAACTTACCTTCCCCAAATTTCTTGCTTTTAATGTCAGTTTGAGAACTAATCAAGTGAACTCATAAGCAGCAGGTGTAGAAATATTTTTGTATTTTAAATCACAAGTACCTGATATTTGGCAGAAATTTTAAAGCCACTCATATTTAAATAGCCATTTTACTGCATATTGCCTTTTATTTGACTTGCTTACACTATTGTTAGCATTTTATAGTGTCTTGTTTATAGCATTGTCCTGCCCTCTGCTCTCTCCCAAAGGATGAGCAGTATAGATTACATTTTTCATATACAAATTGTCAGTTTGTTTTTAATATATGAAACAAAAAGAATTGTCAGGTTTTTTTTCCTTTAGCTTGATGGACCTGTTTTGTGGCTGGTTTAAATAATCATCCAAATTAGCTTGATGGACCTGTTTTGTGGCTGGTTTTAATAATCATCCATGCAATGAAAAACAAATTGTAAACAGGTCGGTGTCATTAGTCACTGTAAAGAAAAAACTTTCATCAAACTTACTAGTAGAATTCCATCTCCTAGTAAGTTGCTAGTTTTTTTTTTGCAACTAATTTTGTTACAAATTTTGTTTGTGTGTTTTGTTTGAATATTTTTTTCTCTTCAAAATAGAGATCAGGTTTTTTAGAACCTTGATTATCCAGAAGCTTGCTCCCAAAGAGCACAATAGAGCTGGGTAATAGTGACTACCATGCTTGCAGTGGCATGTAACTGTCTGGACCTAGTTAAGTTAATTCTTTGGTCTAGATGCTATAATGTGGAGAACACATTTATTTCCCAAGTGATGGTGTGTATGTGTTTGTGTGGAACTGCCATGTGATTGTTTTAATTGCTACATCAAGTTTAATTTAATTCTTTGTTTAATTGCTACATCAAGTTTAATGGAAGAAAGATTGTTTATTTTGGATAACTGTCATATATAGGAAAAATGTGATATTCTTTGTACCCTGGTTTGAGATGCAGGAATATCAGTTCGGTGCCTATGTAAGTAAAAGAGAGGAAGGTGTCCTATTTGTGTGTAGAAAATATGCTTTACATATAAATAGGTATTGATTAAGTACTTAGTATGAATTGGGTAACTTAAAGCTCTCAACATCTCTTCATTATGCTTCTATATGTACTGAACTTCTATTCCTGTCTCAAACTATGATCTGATTTTTGGACTATGACCAGGCTTAGGGGGACAAAAAAAACCTAAGAATGTATGTAAGGGATGAAGTTTTATTCCTCTTTTAAAGATGTTTTAAATAGCAATAAACAAGAGAATGTTAAAAAATTACCATTGTAAACATTTTTTTTTTCTTAAACAAGATTTACCTCCTCTTGTTCTTTTACACTGGCCACTGTACATTCTTGTTGCAGTGTTTCTTGGCCCCAGGTGTATAATGTCCATTGTGAAATAGCACATATGAAAGAGAGCTTCTAAAAATGTTTCTCTGTCAATAAAGGAAGGATGTCATTCAAGTATTTACTCAGAATGACAGTGTGGTCTGTTGCTTCATGGACAAAATGCTATTAAGTCCTATGGCTAAGAAGATAAGCTTGCAGACTGGGATACTTATTCTGGTTGACTTAATCCTTTCATAGTTTCTCTTACAGGCTTAATGCCAATTTTGTCCCATAGTGAATAATATGGTTTATATAAATGATATTTCTTCCCTTTTTATACTACATTTAATGCAATTTATTATAACAGCTCACCACAGTGCTATAGCCAAGATGATCTTGACACTTTGTAAACTTTCCTTTGCAAAAAGTCACTAAAAATTATTTTTAAGAAAGAGTCAAACATGAAAGTTTCTTCCTAAACTAAACTTCATTTAAATTGGTTTGGCTGGCTTATTTGGAAAGTCGACATTTAGATGGAGTATTGCATCAACTGTAGTAAGAATAGCATTGTTTTGGGGTTTTTTTCACTAGTGCTACATATTTAACAGATTAAGGCCCTAGTTCTACAAACAGTTCTGCATGTTCATCTCTGCTCCTATGTAGATTTCCACTGAAGTCAACTAGGTGAAACTGGCTCAGAGGTCTGTCTGTATGGGATTCAAGATTTAAAGGGCTAAGCAGTTTTGTAATTCTGAACTGTTGTTTAAATCCCATCACTCTGTGTACCCTAGACCAGGGGTCAACAACCTGCGAATTGTTGACCGAATCTGGCTCGTGAAAGCGGGGACTTTAGCAGTAGAGGGGCTTTTCCTGTTGTGCTGTGTCACAACCCAGCCAAGTGTTTCACCCAAGCCATACTGAGGCAGGGTAGTGGGGAGGAGGGGCAGCAGTGGCCAGGTCCTGGTGCCAGTCTACCTTCAGCCTGAGCTGGGTCATTCCAGCCTGTTGTAAAACATTTTCAGAACTCTGTCCTAGACTTTTCAGCATAAAGATTACTGGGGATTGTCATCTGATAAAAATGTACATAAATTCAAATTTTGGGCAGCCATGCCCATAACCTATCCATGTTGAAGAAAGTTATGGGTAGTTTGCAGGCTCATTTCCTTATATGTATATACAGGGCATTGAAATAACACTAACAACTTAGTGTTCTGTGTGCATACATTTTTAGGGATATACTTCTTTGTCTTGCTATTTTCCATATTGAAAGGATTCTGGTGTACTTCCAAAAGAGGCCAAAACTGGTTAAAGGCCTGATGGGATGATAAAGTTTGAAGCCTTTTTTCCCCCCATTTCCTTAAAATTCTAACTTTATAAGTAGCTGTGCTATAATATTATTATGGAGTTTTCTGTGGGATGACCATACAGGTTGTAGCAGGCCAGAATGGCAAACAAAAATGGTCATTTTGCAGAGCTGATACAGCATTGTTTCTTGAGGGCCTGTCTGTCTCAGCTCTGTTTATAAGGTGTCTAAGGTGAAAAGTCCTTGTACAGGTTTCTTCTTATGCGGTTAATTCTCTGGTTGCCTCCCGCTTTAACTGAAGGAATAACTGGTTACTGTCATGTGCTAGTTTAATAGGGGTATTTTTTTTTTCCAAATACATAGAGAGTCTGGAAGCCACTAGAGGACTTATATATGTTATATATGTTGTTTTATTCCTGAGAGGTTTAAAAAATCCTATTGCTAAAATTTACCAAACATGCACAGTTTCAGCAGCCTCTACTGCCTCCGTTTATATGAATTGTCTGTAAGTGAGTTGTGTCCTTTCACCCCATGGCAGTTTCCTGTTCTTCTGATCCACCTAGTGGCTTTGCCCTTCTTTTGCTTCCTTTATCGCTGCCCTTTCTAGATATTTTTCTAATAGCTCAGGTCTCCTTGTTGGCTGCCTCTTGCCAAAACAGCAGCTGACAGCTTGAGCTCTATCCTGCTACAAACAGCTGTGAGACAGCTGCAAAGGGAAGGGCTGGAGCTGGCTGCTGTAAGCAAAAGAGGAACTGATGGGCTTCATAAGGAAGAGTACCACTAATGGGAACATAGCTGTCTCTTGCTGTTACTCAGCAGCCCGGGTGGGCTTTAAAATTTTGATTGTTCTGGCCAAACTGTCTGATAACTGTGCCTTTGGTTTTTGTTTATTCTGGATCATCCCTAAAAGAGTTTAGAGTAGCTCAGACTGTAGGCCTTTCCTTGCCATAGAATGTGTGTATTCCTATAACCAGGAAGGGTCAGAAAGTAATAAATTGCAGTTGAGTTGCCACACTTTATAGCCCCAACCCAAAGCAGAGGGCTAATTCTGAAGCTAGCAGGAAGGGTTTGGAGGTGGGCGGATAAGTAGGGGAGTATGCGCCAGGAATCTGCTAGATCTCAATTTAGACTCTTTCCTTTTCATTCTCTAGAAGAGAACTTTTGACTAAAGTTAGCTATTCTACTGTTCTCACCATCTCATTTCTGGACCCTATTTCCTCTCCTGCTTCCAAGGATGCTCATTAGAGTTTCTCTTAGCTGCTTCCACAGTTATTTTTTTACATTTTTTCAGATATCCGTTTTCTTTTTTTCTCCTCTACTAAATCCTTTTATCTTATGAACTCTCTTTTCCAGTTTGTCAAAGGTGTATCTCAAGGATGAAATCAACAAAAGCGTAGGTTTCCAAGATCCTGCCCTAAATTTTTTGTTGTAGGCGTATTCAAATTTTGTTTGCATTTTCTGCATAATGACTTCAAACTGGATTCTTTTTCAAGGTCATTTCATTTCTGGCTGCGGTACTGCACAAAAAGGGGACACGCAAGGATATGGAAAACAACATGCCAGATTTTTTACTGAGGACTGTAAAAAAAGAGCCAAAATGTGTCCCTAAAAAGGTACAGCTTATAGTTGAAATTTCATTTTTATTTTAAAAAAAACAAACTTTTATTTTTAAATAAACACTTACTTGCCATTGTGACAAATGCTTGAATGTTTAGTTTCTATGCTTGGCTACCTAGTTTATACATGAAAATACAGATGTTCATGGATTTATGATGATGCAAATTGGCCTTCAGATTTTTAAACCAAGACAATAGTATGTAGACTTAACAATCACTTGACTAAAGTGTTTAGTGTGGAAATTCACAACAGGGAGGATGAAGCTGAAGGCAGGAGTAGGCTGTAAAGCTTTTGTCAAGCAAATGGAAACCAGTGATATATGTTTATGCTTTAATATGTGGTATTTTGCATACAGGATTTCATTGGAAGTATTAAGAGAAAGGCAAACACTTTGCCTGTGCTGCTTGAGTCTTTTCTTGTAATATAGCCTTCTGCACTGAATAAGTTTGATCCCAGAGGTTTATATGGGACCCTACCTATTATTTATAATGCAAATGAGAGACAGTTTTATATTTGCAGAACCTGAATGTAACTCCATAGGACAAATAAAAGGTGTATCTTTGGCTATGGCTTTTCCTTATATGAATTTCAGATATGCTGCAAATGAAGAATGTTTTAGAGATTCACAGAAAAAGATTGCAATCATTTTTATAAGAGGCAAGTGTTGGGTGAACTAAGCCTATGATATTATGATCTATTCCTCCTATATTAAATATGCAAAATTGATGGATCAGAGTGACATCACTACAAGCTAAAACAGTTGTACAATTCAGTATGTGGAGTACTAGACAGGCAGTGACTTCAGACAAAAGTACATGTCTGCAGGTTATCCAATATGCAGTAATTTAAGGGTATGGATGTTATATGCAGGTTCATTTAAAAAATGTAACTTACTTCCAGGTCACTTTTGATCTTCCAATACAGGGCGTGTTTGACTTTTTCTAAATTTCATTGGCTGTTTTCAACTTGATTGGACTTGCGTGAGTTGCATGGAACACTTCAAACCTTTTCTTTAACAAAAAAGCCCAAAACAAACAAACAACCAACAACAACAAGTCTTGATGACTTCTTGAAATTTTGTTTAATGAGTTAGTAGAGTATAATGCACCTATACAAAGAGATTCTTACATGTGCATAATTGTCTTATACCCTGTGAGTGATCTAGGTGAGGAGTTGTTTAAAAATAAAAAAATAAATTTCCTTTTTAGGGTTATTTTATTTCACCTTTATTTTTTGATATACCAGATCTTTAAGTTACCTAAAAATCATGTTTCTGGAAACATACAATATTTATATCCAGTTTCTGAAAGCATATATTGCTTCCTGTCCTTTTGGAAAAGATCAAGTTTAGACAAGGAAGAGTTGAAGAAACTTGCTGATGAGGTCCAGTTCTTTAAAAATGATAGGGAAACGAGGGCAAATGTATTGAGGGTAAGCAAGATGTAAGTAGCTGTCTGTGACAGAGGGCAAGCTTGGGGCCAGGTCTCATGCCAGCCCACCCACTTGTCTCTATGAGGCAGTCCACCCTGTCTCACCTGCCACAACTTTGCTGTTCTCAAACTGGTGGTATATGCGGGAGGCTACCCATTACATGCCCCGATGCCCAGGGGGTGCGACTCCAAACCTCCCCTACACCGCAGCCTATGCCTCGCAGATGGCATCCATTGTGACATTATGCTCCTGGCCTAGAGCCAGGCCAAGCTTAGCCTTCTCTGTCAGGCCTCTTTCACACACATTCACACCACCCTCCTCTTACTAGGGCCTCTCACGCTCCACCCCCTCTCTCACAGGGTCTCTTTCTCGCATCAGCAACTTGTTCCGCCTTGCTTCCTCTTGGAGCGGCTTCCATAGGCTTTATCCGGATCATGTCTTGGGTGGCAGACGTACAGTCTCTTGGGCCACTCCCATAACCCTCACCTGGGTAGTGAACAGCCAAGTTCCTGCCCTGGGCCAAGCTTGCCCTGTCCCCTCCTGGGGCAGCTTTACATAAACATACACAGACACACACTGGGCCCCCGGCCCCACGTACTGGGGCCTAGTATACCTAGTGTTGTGGAGGCTAGGGGTTAAGGCACCCTGACCCACCTTTCACCAGGGTGGTAACTGGCCTGGCATTTCCTGGGGACTCCCATACCACCAGGCCACCCATCCCCGGCAGGGTGCAGTTTTAGGTCATGCCCAGAACCAGGAACCTCCAAACCATCCCCATAAGCTCCTGCCCTTATCACCAAGATGTTTCATACAGCCTTTCAGCCAGGCAATGTTTCTGCCTGGGCTGCCAGCAGCAAACTGTTTATATAGGCAGCCGGTGTTTTAAAATGGCTGCCGCAATCCCCGGTGTTTAAAATTGCCTGCCGCAATCAAGCACCTGCTGGCTGCTTGACTCAGCCCTTAAAGTGGCAGGCACTGCAAGTGCACTGCCACACTGTCCATTTTTCTTTTGGACACTATAAAAAGTAATGTGGTCTTGCTTGAAGTATAATTTTTTGCAAAACGTACTCATGTTTTTTGGAGTTTCAGTACTTTATCTGTGAGTTAGTCTTTACCATCCTTTGGTCATGTGCCATGGGTTTAATGAGAATACTTAAATTTATATAGTTTTTCATGTATAGGCCTAAATGTATTTCAGAAACGGGAGTAGTAGCAATTAGCCAGTAGATGAAGAAATTGAGATACTGAAGTCAAATCAGTTTTTCAAGGCATCTCAACCAGGAACCTAGTTCTCCTAGTTCTATGCCCATTCAAGTAGCCCATACTGATTACTGATATGCTTCTTGTAATGGGTACTAATAGAGTGCCCTTAGTTTTAGTTTAGGACATCCACATACTTAATACAAAACAATGTAGCGTTTTTAAAGGCAAGCTTAAAATACTTTAAACAAAAATCAGTTTAATGCAGAGCAACTCTGCTGTAGCAATGGTTAATATCTCTAATGCCTACAGCAAATTTTAAAAGGAAAGAAACATGTTAATCAGTAGCCACATACAGACATTCAGGTTCTTGTAGAAGAATTGCTGCTCTTCCAGGAGAAGCCACGAATGTACAGATGTTCAGGCTTTTTCTCTCAGAGCAAAAAAAGGGCTGCTCCGAGGGAAAAATAACCTTGGGACAACCAGTGTTAAATCATTCTCAGGACAGTTTTTCCTGAGAGAATGAATAGCTGTATGCATTCTCCTCTCTTCTCACAGTCCTCCAGTATCCCAGGGTGCTTTGCTCCCTCTCCACTCCGGCCATGCAGGAAACAACATGATTTCTTCACAGTCCCTGTGTTGTGCAGCAGGGAGACAGACTAACTCTGGTTGCCCTGTGCCCTCCTGCCATTTTGTTTGTGGGCAGACTGAGAGAACTTGCTGAGCATTAGGGCTGCGTGAAATTTCGCTGGTTGTTTCGTTTCGACATTGTTTCGACTCGTTTCAAGCTCGAAACAGTGAAATCGATGTGAAACGAAGGGCTTTAAAACAGCCATGAAACAAAATGAGGCTAGTCAAAATGTTTCAAAGCAGGCAGGTGGTGGGAGACAAGGGAGAACCAGGTCTTGTTCCCAGTGGCTCTGAAGCTCCATGTGGCTCAGCCGGGAGTGCAGCCCTGGCTCTCCCCGTCTCCTGCTGCTGGGCTCCAGGAAGCTGATGGCAGTGCAGGGGAAGGGAACTGAGCCCGGGCTCAGTTCCCCTCCCCAGCACTACGATTGGGCTGGGGAAGGCAACTGAGTCCGATCGCTCAGTTCCCCTCCCCAGCCCTACAATCGAGCTGGGGAAGGCAACTCAGCTCAGCTGGGCTGAGTTGCTGTTCCCAGCCTGATTGTAGAGCTGGGTAGGGAAACTGGGCAATTGGGCTCAGTTCCCTTCCCCAGCCCAATGGATCCCAGCGCTGGGGAGGGGAACTGAGCAGTTGGGCTCAGTTCCCTTCCCCAGCTCCCCAGTCCGAGGCAGGAGCACCCATCTTCCCTCCCTCATCTGGCAGGCAGATTGGGGGCCCACAACCCTAGGAGGACTGGCACAGCCCCCCCAGCCCTCCCAGGGCTGCAGGCCCCCAATCTGCCTGCTGGATGAGAGAGGCTCTTTCAAGCTTCCCCATTATAGCCTATGGGCAAACCATCTAAACAGCATGAAAACAGTGTCAGTGTTTTAACTAAATGAAATGGAACAGCGGTTTTGAATCGAAACGAAATTCAAAATAAAACGCTGTTCCATCAAAACCTCGAAACGCAAGTTGAAACGAAACAGTGCTGTTTCACACAGCCTTACTGAGCATGCTGAGAGATGTGCACATGGCTGTACAATGTTAGCATTGCAAGCTCTCTGCTCATCAAGGGATCAGCATTTCAGAGTCTGTTCAGGTGTTTTCCTGGTAGAAAATGTTACCAGAGACTAACCTGGGAGAATTATCTCTTATCATATGAACACAGCTAGTGTGTTCAAAGCTAGTTCTCCCAAGTATCGTCAATATACTAATGAGATAATTACTTCGCAAGTGTGTATATTTTTGATGTTTCTATCATTTCATAAGAATGATGGCTGTATGCTAGCATGATGTTCATAAAGATGAGTCAGAAGACCTGATTCTGTTAAAACATCTGTTAGCTTTGTGAATTTGCTTAGATTTCTTTTGTCCCAGATTTCCCCATATATAAAACAGGTTAAAAATTCTGAATGTGATTTCTGTGGAAGTGCAAAATGGCGGTTTTTTCCCCATTATGTTGTCAAATTTTTTTCTAAAATATTTGAGTTTTATAATTTCCATGTCCATGTTGAAATAGATTTCATGTTATGAGTAATTTTTTTAATAGTAAAACTTGAGTTATTGCTGTTATTGATTGGAAAAAAAATATTTCTGCTGGAATCACCTTACTTGTATGGGTTCTTTGAAAACAGTGGCTCTCAATCTTTTTAGACCCCAGGCACCTTTTGAAAAATGCCAACTCTTAGTTTTCACTTGTTGTTTGACTACAGAAAAATAGAGTAATTTCTGTGTTACAAAGAACTCAGACCGTAACAGCTCAGAATTGTTTTAACACTACCTATTCCTATATGAAACATTTGGATTTATCCTGTGAATCATGTTTGTGCACCTAATGTTGTTCAGAACCCTTGAAAGGATGGATCTCGAGGCACCTTGGGGTGCTGTGGAACTGTGCTTGGGAACTGCTGCTCAAAAAAAGGCTTATGTTTTGAGTTTTGCTGTCTACAATTCAGAAAAGAGTTCTTTTCCTAGAACTATATGCAAATAGGAAATGCTTTGTTCATGTAAAAGAACAAGATCATATTTTTGTCAATTAAATATAACTCAGTATTCTGATTTCTCTGTGACAGTTCTTGATAAAATATATTTGCCATGGGTTCTGCAGTAATATCACAACACTATTTATTTTTAGACTTTCCTGGTTGTAGCTCCACTTTCTGTGCTATATAACTGGAGGGATGAATTGGACATATGGGGTTATTTCAGGATTGGTGTTTTACATGGCAGTCAAAAAGACAATGAACTGACTCGTATTAAACAGGGGAAGTGTGAAGTTGTACTTACAACATATGAAACGCTTCGTCTCTGTTTGGATGAACTTAACAGGTAACCAATCTCTTATTTATTTTATTTTATTTTATTTTCCAAACATCGTTTGTTGAAAGGGAGGGGAGATTGTATACCCATAACTAATGAATTTGCCAGACAGCATTGCTGTAATGAATTGCTTCTGAAAAAGTAGTTATTAGAACAAGGATGTCAAACTCGTTTTGCCCTGGGCTAGATCTGGACTCAGCTCTTGCGACAGGGAAGTGTTGTTAATCCCTGCAGGTCACTTAATACTGCTTCACTCACACTTGTTTTTAATACAACCTTTGTAGACTCTCTCTATATTTCTCTCTTGCATTACTAAATTAGTGCACACTGTTAGTGGGATGAGCATTAACACAGAGACTGTCTTGCATGCAACTAGTCCTCCATTTGTGATGTCACAGGTTGCCTTGACTCATTTTCATGATCACTCAATATTTCCATAGCGATTTCTACAGTTTTTCTACAAACTTTCTCCAAGCTTATGAGGAATGGGATGTATTGTAATGTGTTCCTTAATACCTTGAAGACTTGATAAGAATTGAGGTCAGATGTGAAATTCCCGCTTTCCAGTTTTTCTGCTGTAGTTTCAGGGATTTTTTCAGTAAGACAGTTCAGCACCAGTCATGTAAATATTATAAACATTTATCATGCAAAATTGTCCTTAGCACCAGATTAATGCTTTCAGACTTTGGAAGGCTTTCTCTTTCACACAACAGATTTGGTTTTATTATTGCAAAGTTGCTTTACAAAAGGAAGCTATATTCCTACAGTGAGAGAAGCTTGAAATCTACTCGGTTTAAAAAAAAAAAAAAATTTAAATTTCTAACACTGCATCTTCCTGTCCTTTTGCAGCCCATATGGCTCTAAATCTGTATTGTTCATTCTATTGAAATGTTATTTCTCATGCCTTTTTGCGTGAAAAATTTGAATATAGTAAACCTAATTTATATGCATTGTGGTGTGAAATGTATCAATTGAAAAACAGATTATATGATTTGGTTTAAGTTATGATATCAAAGCATTTGTAAAAATTAGTTCTTTGAAATCTTTTTTAAGTCAATAGCATTGTTATCACTCATTCTTTGTTTAAAATATGAGGAAAAGTGGCTAGTTCTTAGTACTGCATGTTAGTGGAATGATGGAAGCATCATGTAAGACTGTATTTCTTGTTGATCCACAGTGTAGAGTGGTCTGCTGTCATTGTAGATGAAGCACATAGAATCAAGAATCCAAAGGCTCAAATAACTAAAACTATGAAAGGCTTAAAATGCATTGTCCGCATAGGTCTTACTGGAACCATTCTTCAGAACAACATGAAAGAACTTTGGTGTGTCATGGACTGGTAAATAAAACATTTTAATTTATTTATTGGGATTGAACATTTACATCTGTTAACCTGAAACATGGTATGGTGGGCATAGTTTGGGGCTCAGCAGCATCCAGAAAATGTCCCAGTGGAAATCCTAGTATTCTTTCCTTGTGTACATTTGGAGGGTCATTTAGGGTACATCCTGAGATGCTTGGTATTTCCTGATTTAGTCTTGGTTTGCACTTATTTAGTAAACATATAGTGTTCCATGTTCTCTTGCTTTTTTGGAAAGCTGTAAAGCAAGTGATTGGCTCTTTCCTTTTTTTCTTTTCTACCCCTCTGCGCTCATCTATTTCCATCCTCCACACACCAACAACATATAGAGTGACTGGTGGCCCTGCTCCCAGCTCTCTCACTGATGTAGCTGGTAAATTACAGATGCTTAATGGTGATAATTAATTTATATTCCAGCACTACTCCAAAAGTACTAAGTTTTGTTCAGATACATAGGAAGCAACAGTTTCTGCTCTTAAGAACTTTGGAGGGAAGAGATGCTAGATGAGAGAATGGAATACAGATTAAAACAAAATAGTCTTTCCTGTGAATACTTTGCTAAGAATAAATTTTAAATATAGAAGAAAGTGCGAGATCTGGAAGGAGAGTGGCTAATGCAAAGCTTAATGCAGCATGTAAGCAATTAAAACTCCAAGACTATGTTAAAATCTAAGAGTGAATTGCGTCGAAAATGCATTAATGAGTTTCTCATGCTTTAATGAGTTTTACTGTAGATTTAATTCTATCCTATCTATGATCTGATTTAATAAAGCTGTAAGAGCCCAAGTCAGATTTTTTTCAAACCTTGATGCCTAAGCCCCTTATATATAGTCTCTGGGAGTTTATAAATGTGCTCAGGGTGGGATGGGGGGCGCATTTTAATTAGAGTGGCTCTAAGAGCCACTTTAATTAAAGTGCCTGGAACATTACATGTATCAGTGTCCCAGTGCTGAAAAATAGCAGTGGGTGTGCTTTAACTAGTTTAGTTAACTTTAGTTAAAGTGTCCCCTGCCATTTTTCAGAGTGGGGACGCATGTGATGCTGGAGTCTGCTGGAGCGTTACCATGCTCCAGCAGACTTGATTAATCAAGTCTGCTCCGACACGCTGTAATTACAGTGCATCAGAACAGCCTCGCTGCATGTGTATACACGCCCCTAATTAATAATTGTCTGATTCTTCAGAGACCCTGAGCACCTGTAACTCCTATTTGCTTGGCAACGATTTGCAGGTTCCTTTTATTTGGTGCCTAAACTGAAGATCATAGTATTTTCATCTGAGCGCTTAATATTTGCTAATAGACTAAGAAACATTTATATTCATATACATGTCTCTTAAAATAATTAACACCAAAGCAATGAATAAGAGTTCTTGCTGTTAGCCAGTAGCTTGTCAATGGAGAAATCTGTTCTGCTTGGAGTTCAGCAAATGTCTGCTGATTGTGTTTGTTTTGTTTTTTAGGGCTATACCAGGACTTTTGGGTAGCAAAGTATATTTCAAGAAGAAATTTTCTGATCCAGTGGAGCACGGCCAGAGGCATACTGCAACTAAAAGAGAGCTAGCAACAGGTCGTAAGGCCATGCAGAAGCTAGCAGGAAAAATGTCTGGCTGGTTCCTGAGACGTACTAAGGCTCTTATTAGTGATCAGTTACCAAAAAAGGAAGACAGAGTGAGCCATTTTAACACTAATGAATATGTGCCATAGTTTGTTCTTTCTGACTTTTCTGTACCGTATGTTTAACAGTTTATAGTTCTGTTTATGGTTCAGATGTGAGATTTGTCGAAGAGTTCCTAAGTCCAGGGTTATAAGCAAGAATGCTTGGATAGTAGCATACTTTGTTCAAATAATTACTTGTGCTTTCATGTTCAAATGGAGTTAATCAGGCATGGAAATGCCCAGTTAGACCTCTGAGCAGTGATTCACATATATAAGATACTCAGTTTATTTTTACATTTGTAATTGTGTGCCAAATCCAAAAATTTTTGCAGGAAACCTTGCTTTCTTGAAAGACCGTGTAGGACTTCTAAACTTAGTCTGATAGCATATAAATTAAGACTTCTTAAAAGCAATTTAGTCTAATTCTTACCTTCCATTTAAAAGAACACTTATTTCTTTAAAAACCTTGTTACCATAGGCTTTTAATCCTGTTTATATGGTGCCATTATAAACTTCAAGTAAAGCGTTTATTCATCTTAATCATTTTAATTTAGGATGTGTTGTTGAATATGATGATATCCCTAACAGGCAAGCAGAAATACATTTATTAAGTGCACACACTTTTTTTGCAGCTGTTCTCCCCCACCCCACAATTTTCTATTTGTGCTTCATCCAGGCCATATAATAATGTCATCTAAATTGTCTTGTAAAGAAAAGATTAACACAAATGTCAGTCACTTTCTTTTCGAAGTCTAGCAGGTTTTATTCTTCTCATTCTCTTGTTAATGTGAGTATATGTTCAAGTTACTGTTGCATTATGATAGCACAGCATGGTGCTGCTGCTGCGTGGGTGGCCTAGGTTGAGGAATGATCTTGGGATTTCTGTCTCCTGCTGGTTAAGACTAAAGATGTCATGGAGATGCCACCCATGGTCTCTGAGGGGAGGGATAAGAGTTTTGGCCATATCACTATAGAGATCCTTTCCTTCTCATTTCTTTGATTTACAGTGTCAGTGGCCACCTTAAATTTAACTGTCTTTTTATCCCTGCTGCCTGCCATACTGAACCACAACAGTTAGTGCCAAAGAAGGAATAAACAATTAGTTTATTATGCTTTTGGACTAGGCTGATAGAAATCCTTGTTGTTATGATTAGGCTCTTTAGTTGCCCTCATGCCCCCTCCTGTCCCCTGGCTTTCTGCTGTCTTCCCCAGAAAAAGGCTACAGAAAACTTAGTGGAAATACAACAGTAAAATGATTGTTATAGTTTATGAATTCTCTTAGGAGTAATGGCAAACTTAAAATTGAGATAAAAATGGCTATATTTACTCACTGACCATGTTTTCACACTTGTATTGGAGCATAAGGATCCAGGTTTTTTCGAGGGAAACAAATGTAGGTGTTTGGGTAATAACACAGCACAAACTTATTTGTTCCTTTTTTTACTCCTAGTGTTTGAATATTTTGTTTTATATCTTTTATTTTGGTGTTGCTTCTGCATGTTTCATGTGATTGTATTTTGGGCTTATATTTTGGCAGATAGTGTACTGTTCCCTGACAGAATTTCAGAAAGCAGTATATCAGGCTGTATTGGAAACAGAAGATGTAAACTTAATACTACGAGCATGGGTACCCTGCAGTTGCAATAGTGGACGTAGAAGAAAGAATTGCTGTTACAAAGTAAGAACTTTTTTAGTGACCTAGGTTTCAGGATTTGTAATTTGTGTCATTTGCCCGTGCGGATTTGAAAACTGAAAGGGAACATACTTCAGAGTGACTGTCGCTGCCCATTTTGCAGGTCTTGACCCCTGTAGGTCCCCATCAGAAGTGGAGCACCTGTAGATCTACTTTTTTCCCTCCCTGTACCCACCTACAGGTTAAAGCTGATATTTGCTTGCAGATTTTTTTTTTTTTTTTTTTTTTAAAGCAATTCCTGGTAGAATAGAAGTTGCGCCCCCCCCCTCCCCCCCCCATACATATTTAATTATTGGGGGTGGGGGAGGAATTTGGGTTACTTGTCATGGCAATTTAACCCATTGGTGAGTGCACAGGATTTAAGTTGTTAAATCCCTCTACTGGACCTTGGCTCTTTAGTTCAGCCAGGGTACAGTTCCCAAGGTACAGGGAACCTTATGCAGAGTTGCCAGAGTAGCGCTATCAGATCATACTTTTAGCCCTGGAGGTTCTTGGTTCACTTCTCGGTGTATTGGCCAACAGCAGTTGTCACATTAATGAGGGCTTAACTGGGGTTTGAACTTTTTGGCCAACACACTAGGAGCTAAACAGGTGACCTCCAGGTCTAAAAGCAAAAGCTTCTCACAGTTTGACCTAAAGATCCCCAAACCCCTATAGTTGAGGGCTCATTCCCTCAACTATAGGTGGATTGGGCACAAAGGATTTGTAGTGCCATTGTAGTTGCCATTAAAGAATATACTTGCTGATTAGTTTTGATTCCTTGGAGTCTGAAATTAGAGTAAGAAATATCAGTGTTCCAGAGATGTTTTCTAGTAAAAAAACATGGTGTTCATCTGTGTGAACAGTACCTACTACCATCAGCTCTCAGTTGTGATTGGATCTTTGAGGCACTGCTTTTATAAGTATAAATAATAGCCTTCTGTAACAAATACACTATCTACAAAAACTACCGGGTAAGGAAAACTAGTTTTGAGAACTACAAAATTCAATTAAAAGAAAAGAACAATGAAAAGTTATATACCGAAAAAAACCTATGAAATGACTATGTAACACACAGATGACATTCAAATCAAGTTGAAATTGCAAATCTAGTATCTATCAATAAATGGAATTGAATAACACTTGTAAGTGGAATAAAAATATCAAGCTATATTAGATGTTCCTTACATACTTAACATGGAGACATAAATGAAAATGCATATACTAATTCCATCTATTTTATCTGATGTTATTGATGCTGCATTAGAAATACATATTTTGTAGATGTTCCAAATTACTTTGATTATGATACTTGTGTGATTGTAAAATATCTTCAGTATATTGAAACTTGAGCCATATTAGCAATTGTTGGGTAGGGCATCACTCAGATGGCTATGATGCTAATTCAGATTGAAATTGATTGTAACATTTCTACATTTCACTTGTTAGGATCTGCTTTGTTTTGGATGTTTATATTTTTCTAATGTGCTGGTACTTCTAAAAAAATCTCTTGTGACATTTTTTTTACAGACAAATTTCCATGGTGAAACTATGAAGGCACTTTATTTCAGTTACCTGACAGTCCTTCGAAAGGTTGCTAATCATGCTGCCCTGTTACAGACGGAGAACACCAGTAAACAGCAGGTTGGTTTCTGAATGTGCCAAAAGAGCAAAGCTATGGAAAACATGTAGAAGGAGACCAATTTAGTAAAATGTCTTACTATAGTAGCTACTGTTAATTGTGACTAGCCTCTACTCTTTACCTTTATTTTAGCCTCATATTTTAGCTCTTGTTGCCTTGTAATTGTTTTGCTCAACAAGCTAGCTGGAATTAAGGTGCTTTGTTTAGTTGCTTAGTCTGATCCTGCTCCCATACAGTTCTGTGGTAAAACACACATTGACTTCAATAGCACAGAATGGGGCCCTTTTTCAGTGACTTTCAATAGTGACTAGAGACATCACACAGCAACACTTTTTTTCATTAGTGATTGAATAACTTTTAAAAAATGAATTCTGATGACACAGGAAAACCATGTTGAAGTAAGTAAGTACTTTTATTGTTATAGCTAATAATGTAGGTAGTTGCTAGTAATTTGGTTTTGTTTGTGAAAAGAATTCAACAAGGGTGGGCCTCCCTTTGTTGAGGGAGGAAAAAAACCCAAGAAGCTGGTGTTGGCATACACAACCATTTTCTTGAATTCACCTTAGTTCCTCTGACGGAAGGCAGTGCTATACATAGAACCAGTTTAAAAAAAATGATGCCAAATTTATCTTTAAAATCCTGAATGAATAAAAGATCTGTGTGTTAATCACCTCTGATACTACTTCTTAAAGAATTACTTCACCTTCAGTACCCACAACAATTGATATTATAATTCATTTATTATTATTAGTGTCTTAATCTCTTTGTACTTCCCTGTGTATCCTACATTTTGTATCTTTTTACTTTTATAATGCCTTTCGGACAGGATGTTTGTGTTTAGACTTGCTCCAACCATATGGTGTGCTAGTAATAAGCCTTAAAAAATTGGGCTGAGGTGCTGTCAGTAGTCCTATTATCTTTTGAGCCTTCCCAAAATCTTGAGGTAATGGATCTTCTCCATCAGGGAACCAGAACTTTGCAGTGCTGCCTCTTTGGAATTATGTAAAAAAAAAAAAAAAAAAAAAAAAATGTCCACTGTAGGTATTTTTTTCAGAATAAGGCAAAATGCTTTACTTTTGTAAAGAAAAGATACCTAGTAATGTTCAGACAGATTCTAGTTAATACACTCCTGATTTGTAATATGGAGCTACTTACTCCTTTTGAAAATAGCACTTGGGGTTTTAGCTTATTCTTAATAGTCTGCTGTATTAGAGCATCTCTCTTGAGTACAATTGACTTAAATATTTTCCCCTGCCAGTTTTATTTCAGTCAGTTTCAGTCTTACAGACTATGATAGTACTAGGGATAGTTTAATGCAGAAGTCTGTTTCTCTTGTTTCTGCTCATCCATTTTCTGCTTTGCTTTTAGAAAACGCATATCAAACGAGTTTGCAACCAGGTGTTTTCCAAGTTTCCTGATTTTGTTCAGTTAAGCAACGATGCAGCCTTTGAAACTATTTCTGATCCAAAATACAGCGGGAAAATGAAGGTAATGCCTAAATGCCTATTTACTTGGAAAATCAAATCACCGTTGTATGATTTTGGGTCTCAGTGGGTGCCAATTTTCTTTCATTTATACTGTTTGTTAAACGTGATGATAATGATATTTCTGCTACCAATGTGTCTATAAGCCTGAGTCATGGGCTAGGACACCACTGTGCCAGGTGTGCTGCAAAAGCAGAACAGGAAGATGCTGTCTATCCTAAAGGGCTTATATCCTAGGTAGAAGGCGAAGTGCAACAACAGATGGACAGGGACCCTGGGAATCTAAAGAAATGGAGGCACCATGGTTCATTCTGATAGGTTATGGATTCAGCACATCAGTAGCCTAACCACTAAATATTGTTTCTAGTCCTCACAGCAAAGGACAGTTTTAAGGAGAACAGTGTTGTGGCTTTGTAGATATTTATGGGACGCTTCTTCTAAGCTTTAGAAGTAGTATTGGAGAAAGCAGAAAGGTGCCTGTTTTAAAAAACCACTTGATGTTGGGAGTTGGCCGTGTTACGCTGAATGAAAGAAATTCATGGAATTTCTAGTGAAGGCTTATGAATGGCCCTATTTGTTCTTATCAGATACTTCTGTATTGGAGCACTTACATGAATTCAAATGATAGTCCTTCAGTACGGTGGCTCTCAACCTTTTTAGACTCCAGGCAGCCCTCAAAAATGCCAACTTTTAGCTGTCACTAGTTTCTTGAATACAAAAAAAAAAAATAGGGCAGTTCAGCAGAAACCAAGAAAGATGGCAACGGGTCAGAATGTTTTGGGCACTGGATTCCTATTTGAAATCTTTGGGGTTTATCTTATGAATCATGTATAGGTGTTTGTGCATCTAACAGTGCTAATGTTGCATGACACCCTGTAGCACCTTTAAAGGAATCTCACAGTACCCTGGCTTTAGCTGTAGAAGGAGCAAAAAAATGGGATGATAAAGTTTAAATCGTAGTCTAAAAAATCATGTGAGCAGCAGCATTTGGGATGGATGTGTGCAAGACTGGATTGCTTTCATTAAAAAAGCCTGGAACAGAATCTCAGCTGCGTGGATAAGGAGACAGGCCATGTCTGAGATATTTAGAAAAAAAGATTCAGCTAGATCTACATATTGTTTACATGCCAGTACCTAGGAAAGGTCCCAGCCAGAGGATGTAGAGCTAAAGGTTAAGTGTCACTGGGTGTGAATAACGGGCAGATACCTGCTTTGTCCATATTTAGATATCTCAGATGCTGTATGGATATCAGGATCTCTGTTTCAGCCATACTGAATTCATCCTGATGGCTAGGCATCCACAAGGAGAGGTCATATAGATAGATGATATGTGATTTTAATTTGCACAGAAGGGGACACCTCTGGAGTAGAAGTAGATCTATGAGTCATCAGCATAGAGATGACTGAAGTTTTTTTTTCTTTAAATGTTTTTGAGGTACAGTAAGAAGTTGGAAGTAGATCAGTTGCAAGTCTTTGGGTAAAGGTAAAAGGTTCATAGTGGGCACGTCTACATGTGCACTTTACTGCGCAGAAGCTTATTTTACTGTGCATTGAAGTGTTATATAAAAAAGCCATATGATTAAAAACTGGCTACTGCGCATTAAGTGTCACTTAAAAACTGTACAGATTTGTCACCATGCATTAAGGCAGCCTAATGCACATTTCTTTAGTACCTCACATTGGAGGTACTAAATTTACTGCGTATTAGAAAAAGCATCTTAATACATGTGTAAAGATGCCCAGCGAGTGTCTGCTATAGACTACCAAACCAGGGGGAGGGGGGGGATGAGGCTTTTTTCAAACTAACTAAAGTACGCAAATCACAAAACCTGGTGTTAAGAAGGGACTTCAATTACTGTGACATTGTTATGAGGAGGCAGAATTTTGATGTACCTTTATAGACTAACTGAATAAAAAGTGCATAAGCTTTTGTGAAAAAGAGCTCACTTCATGAGATGCTATGAAAGGAAGTGCACAGAGTAGGCTTTAAGAAGTATCTCTACTCTGCCTTCTGCCTGACTTGGTACTTAACATGGCTACCTACCTTTCTGCTCATTGTTAAAAGCAGTGCCCAGGCAGTTCATTTAGTTTTTGGAGTATATTTGGGATAAATTTTCTGTACAGAAAGTGGAAAAGTCAGCAAAGGGATTTAATAGCGAAGAGCCAGCTCTTCTTGATTTAATGCTCATGGATAAGGAGAGTTAGTTGAGAATTTGAAGGTAGAAGACAAGTAGGGTGACAGTGACAAAGAAATAATATTATTTAAGGTTTTAAGGAAAATAGAGGAGGAGGTCAGCACAATAATGACTCTGGACTTCAGAAGAGCAGGTTTTAACAAAGTCAGGGAGCCTAATGGGCAGGAGCACAGGAAGAGGCAAGGCTGAGGGGAAAAAGGAGTTCTGGAGAGAGCTGGTTGATTAAAGAGATGATGATATAAGCCCAAGAACAGCTTTGGAACCAAGAGACTGGCCTGGCTAAACAGTCAACTGTTCAGTGACTTGAAACTTAAAAAGGAATCTTACAAAAATAGATACTTGGTCATATTGCTGGGTACAGAGTGGGGAAATCAGGAAGCCCAATGCAGGAATTGAGATACAATTAGCAAGGGACACTTAAAAAAGAGCAAGTAACCAGAAAACATTCTCCAGGTATGTTCCTTCCTTTCTTTAACACTTTGAAGTCTGTTTCATGGTCACCCAGTACCTTTTCATTCTCAACCAAATCCTCCCCATTTTTGAGCAGCAAGTCATGATGTAGGGAGAAAATTAGGAAGGCCAAGGCATAAATTGAGATATAGCTAACAAGAGATGTAAAAGGCACCAAAAAATCATTCTGCAAGGAGGCTAAAAGTAAAGGAAAAGAGTGGAAAGTAGGTCTCATATTGAATGGAGAGGGCAATCTAATAATGAAGGGTATACAGAAGGCTGAAGTACTTAATGCTTTTTCTTACTCAATTCTTTATGAATAAGGTCAACTATTAGGTTAACACATTTGGCAGCAAGGGTAGGGGAGGAGATAATTTTCTCAGAGTAGGGAAGGAGCAGATTAGAGATTACTGAGGGAAACTGGATGTTTTCCAGTCAGCAGGGCCAGATGTGTTTCATCCTAGAGTACTCAAGGAATTGGCTGAGATTATATTGCCTCATCTGATGTATTGCTGTTGGCCATTATCTTTGAAAAATCATGTAGGTTGGATGAAGTCCCAGATGACTGGGAAAGAGCAAACATAATGCCAGTCTTTTAATAAAAAAAAAAAAAAAAAAAGGTTAAAAAAAGGAAGAAAGGTTGTTTGGAATCAGAGACTAGTCAATCTATCCTTGAAACCCAGAAAGATTGGAGAGCATGCCATCATGGAATCTAAGCACTTAGAGCAGAGGTCTGCAAGCTACAGCCCGTGAAGCTGGGTGGCTTTGGCACAAATTTCTGCAGCAGGCAGCTTCACCCATGTGGTGAGTAGTAGGGCTGTGTGAAATGGCACCGTTTTGTTTCAACTTCCGTTTCACTGTTCCGAAGGGACAGTGTTTCTTTTTGTAGTTTTGTTTCGTTTTGAAGCACTGTTCCATTTTGTTTCATTGCGTTTCAGTATTTTGCCCATAGGCTATAATGGGAAATCATGAAAATGCCTAAATCTGTCATTTCATGCCTGATTCGGATGAAAATTGCAGGTATGGTAGCCCCTTCTGAGGGCATGAAGCCTGTCAAGGAGACAGATGCAGAGATGTCTAGGAAACTGCACCTCAAAGAGTTGAAAGGACAACTCGTATCATTTGCTGGCAGTGGCAGCCTCCTGTTATCCTGCACGCAGATTTGGGGGCCCGCATGTCCCAGAGGGCTGTGGGGCTGTGCCGGACTCCTCCCGGGGGTATGGGCCTCTGGATCTGCGCGCAGGATGAGAGGAGGCTGCTGCTGCTGCCTGGGACTGGTGCCAGGCACAGCCTGCGCCCAGTGCCAAGAAGACTGCTGCTGGCCCCAGGCAGCAGCGGCAACCTCCTGTCATCCCGCGCGCAGATCTTGGGGTCTCCACCTCCAGGAGGACTGTGCCTGACTCCTCCCAGGGGGCGCAGGCACAGGATGACAGCAGGCTGTTGCTGCTGGCTGGGACTAGCGCTGATGCCAAGCAAGCCCAGCTTCGAAACTTGAAACGTTTCGAGTGCTCTTGTTTCGTTTCAAAGCTGTTTTGAAGCCTTTTGTTTTGTTTTGATTTTACTGTTTCAAGCTCAAAACATGTTGAAACAGTTTTGAAACAAAACACCCAGCAAAATTTTGCACAGCCCTGGTGAGTAGGTGGCAGTGAGAAGCAATTTGGGCTCTGGTGGCAGTGGCCTGGCAATGCATACCAGACTGGAATCAGCCCATCCTTGGAGTGAAGTTTTATTGCAGCTTTTGAACATTGCCACCCCCAACCTAGAGAATAACGAAGTGATTGGGAACACCGAACCTGGATTTTGCAAGAACAAGTCATGCTTGAACCTGTGACGGTTTCCTTCTGGGATAATTTCTCTTTTAGAATATGAAAGAGGTAAAGAGGAAGATTGTTCAAAAAACATACTGAAAGGAAGTTTGGGGCGTGCAGAATAGGACAGGAGAGGGATGGAGGGGCAGAAGCCAACAAAGGATAAGATTTCAAAAAGAACAAGGTAACTTGTTTCAAAGGTGCCTAACAAGTCAAGGAAGAGGATGGAATGGAATGCTGTTTCAGAGATTAGGCAAAGAAAAAGACATTAACAGCTCTGGCAACAGGGCTTCCACCTTTGCATTCAACCGAAAGCCAGAAGAGAGAAGATTACAGATGGAAGTGGAGAAAAGCAGCTCTGAACAGCAGCTGTTAACTGTGCACTAGATAACTGATAATCACGATGAAGAAGAAATTGTTCTTGTATATTTCTTCTGAATCATGGAAATTAGAGATGTGAAGTCTTAAATTATCGCCCTAACAGTGAACGGTTATATTCTGTTAATATAATGCCCAGTCTAATTTTATGTCCCAAGCAATCCTTCAGGACT